ATCAGTACTTTTTTTTTTTTGTTACTGACAACACTGTCACTTTTGACAGCCATTTTGTATGATGTCATCTTAATTATATCTTTTCGCTGTACACTTGTTGAGTTCTATTACCAGAGTTTTAAATTTGTTTTTAAGGTTATCTTCAAAATATTTATTTAAATCAGTAAAATTATTGTTTCTTAAATATTCATTTTTATTTTAAAGTAAAAATAATTGTATTTGATGTGATATTTTTAAAGTTATGAGTACCAAAGCGAATTCTTAACTGTAGTACAGAAATGTGATATTTTATTTTTGTTATGGGGGAAAAAAATCTTGTTGCGACAAAAAATTGCAAAAATCAAGGTACTTTTAATTAATACTAATCTTTTTTTACAAAAAAGATTAGTATTTCTGTACAAAATATACAGAAAAAATATGGAGAACTTGACAACAAAGAGCATTGGTAAATATGGACAGAAGAGAATCCTAATACCATGCAAGGAAAGTTTACTAACCAAGATTTTTTTAGAAAATAGACAGGCTATCAACAATGAAATAACTGAAAAGCTTGACCAATTTAGATGGTCATGGTTCAAAGTTGCCTGCATGATCTTGGTTACATTTCATGATTTTCAGCTAAGAAGCCTAAACTGGTACCAAAAATGATTCAAAAAAAGGCTGGCAAAAAGGTAGAGGGAAGATCGATTATCAAAAAGGTAGAGGGAAGAAATTGGTAAAATAGTTCAAATGATTTAAATATATTTGCTTTCTTACATAAAATATATAAAGGATCCCAAACTCCCAACACATGTTGTGTTCATATTAAAGATAATGTTGAAAAAAAAGGTTTGAACCAAGTTTTTTTGATTAAAAATAAATAATGAATGCATACCGAGAAAAACTAAACTTGTTCTTTTAGTTGCAGCTCGCCTTTTCCATTTTACTCAAAAAATCAGTCTTTAAATTATATGTTGTAGCCTACAGAATTTGATAATTCCTTTGAAGCGCCTTTTATTCATAAAAATTTTAGTATTTGATGTCATGGTAGACTTTTAACAAATGGAACTCTGGAAAAAGTTTTATTTGTTTTTATTTATAAATTTTTTCATTATTTGTTTAGTTATTTATTTTCTAATTTTAACATTTAAAAAGATATTAAAAACTCTGAATATTTTATGCTCGTTTGTTACTATAAATTGTTATTGCCCTATATATAATGTTGATAAATGATAAAGTATTTATTATCTCAATCAATATTCTAATGAAAAATTATTTTATATTTATTACCCGTATAAAATTAGTATCAGCATTTTTTTAACTAAAGGTTGCAAAATTGTGTAGCATTATTGCAGCGTTTATTGGAAAGCTTGTATTTGTCAATTTTGTTAGTTTTTCAATTTTCAATGCCAAATACAACACATAAATTTGGAAATACCAAATATATATTTTTTAAAGCGCCTTATGACATTTTGATAATTTAAGTTAAATCAGCGTGGGTGACAGGAATGGTGTTGCAAAGTTTTGATTATTGCAAAGTTTTATTGTCGCAAATTTGATTGTTGATAATGTAAAAAAAGAATGTTGTCACAAATTGTCGCATTATTGGTTGTCGAATAACAGAATAAGGAATAGTGTCGCAAATAAATTTAATGAATAGTGTCGAAAATAGAACAAAAATAATAATAACTATAAATGAGTGTTAAGAAAACATGTTTGATGTCATACTGAAGTAGCCTGCTGCAGTTGGCATATGTACTGAGGTCCCCGTCAGTACATATGCCAAGTGTCTTATAGCCTGCTGCCACAAAGGAGTGCCACTACAAGACTGAGTGTAGTTTGCTAACAATTTTTTTTTTCATTATTCTTTGTTTTTTTTATTTTTATTTTCTGTAAAAGCTGTATGCTATAAAGATAAGCAAAACGAGTAAACACTTGTTGAAATTAACTATTTGCGACACTATTCCATTTTTACAATTTGCGACACTATTTCTTTTTTTTGTTTTTGACACTATTGATTAAATTCATTTGCAACACAATTCCTTTTTTTTTGTGACATTAGGCCTTTTTAATATAATCGACACTATTTCGAAGTTTATTTTTCGACACTATTCCTGTCTCCCATCAGCGTAATTAAATTTTTTTTATAATAAAATTTAACAGTTCATCAAATATCTTTAATTAATACTGTTAGTTAATGAAATTAATTGTTGAAAAATACTTTTTTTTGACGAGAGAACAAAAAATGTTATAGCGTAAAAATGATCAGGGAAGTTAGAAATTAGTTCCCATTGTTTAAGTGAAATTAAGTAGATTCAGAATATGTAATACTGCGCTTTCTTGCACAAAAACAAGAGTCCTTATATATAATGTTCATATAATGTAAAATACTTGTATGAAAGTCATAAGATTGGTGAAGTTTGTCATAAGTCATAAGATTGGTGAATAAGTGATAAGATTGGTGAATAAGTGAAAGTCATAAGATTGGTGAATAAGTGAAGTGTTAATTATTTGTTTTAATTTAAAAGCAAAAGAAATATAAGTAAGATATATAAATCTAAAAGTTATTAAGATATCTGTAAAAAATAAGTTGCTCCTATAAAATAAAAATAATTTTTTATTTATAGTTTTTACAATTTTTTTTTGCGATGTTTGGAAAAATAATACAAATAAATTTGTTTTGCTGTAGTTAAAAAAATACTACAACATACTTTTTAAATAAAAGTAGAAAAGCACAGCTTTGTTTAATTACACTTTTCGTTTGTCAAAAGTCTTCTATGACATCAAATACTAAGATTTTTATGAATTAAATGCTCTTCAAAGGAATTACCAATGTCTGTAGACTGCAACGCATAGTTTAAAGACTCCTATTTTTTGAGTAAAATGGAAAAGGCGACCTATGACATAAAAACAACATAAGTTTTTCTCGGTATGCACTCATTTTTATTTTTAATTATAAAAACTTGGTTCAAAATTTTTTTCTTTAACATTATCTTTAATATGAACACAATGAGTTTGGGATCCCTTTAAAGATTCACTTAAAAAAGAAAAAGAAAAAAAAAAGGGAATAATGCTTATTGGACTGCATCAAACTGTTAAATGCCCAACCTCTGTGATGATCTGCTCAGTGATACGTGGAAGGGAAATGGAGAGGCTCTATATTGTCGAGGGAATAATGAATCAGTTGCAATATAAAAAAGTCCTGAAACAAAGATTGTTGCCACTATTGGAAGAATGGTTTGGTCCATATGAAAAAAAAACCTTTATGCAGGACGGGGCACCATGTCACATGGATAAATCAATTTAAAAATATCTATCAGAACAGAAAATTCCATTACTTGGTTGGCCAAGAAACTCTCTTGACTTAAATCCTATAAAAAATGTTTGGGCGTTCCTAAAGTAGCAAATATCTAAAAAAAAAATTGCAAACAAAGTGTATTTAATTGAAATAATTATTTACCACTGGAACCATAAATAAAGATTGCAGGAAGTGGCTGAAAAATGTATCAAAAGTATGCCAAAAAGGGTTTTTGCAATTATAGGCAAATATTGCTCTTGAATATATTTGTAGCAATTTTTAAATAATAAAATTTATTAGCAATTTTTTTATTTGTCAAAAATAATACTTATTTTATAAATAAAAATTACTTTTGAGTACATAAATTACAAAAAATATAAAAATAATAGACTTTTAAACTTGAGAATGTAAAAAATTGTGGGTGGTAATTTATTATAATTATCACACGACTGTATTTATCTCATTTCATACTTTTTTTTTTCCAAGTTTTTTTACGTTTATTTTTTTCTGTACTGCTTTCCTTTTAAACTTATTTTAAAAATATTTTTTTTTTAGGCATTAATTTTACTAAAGAAAATATGCCCAGCATATCAAATAGATATAGAACATTCATGTGATTCTAGAGGTAAATATTTTTCTTGTTGTTTTAATATATTAAATTCATGACTTAATGTTGTATGATATCTAATACTGATAATCTTCAATCTTTTTTCTGATAATTTTTGATATATATTGTCATATCTTTAAGACAAGATCCATAAGCACATTGTAAATCTAGGTAGACTTGTTGTGGAGTTTCAGCCACTGTTCTATTATTGTATGGTTGCAACTCTTTTCTTTCCTTTCTCTTCTCTTCTTTGTATGGTTGCTACTTAAGCAAGCATGAACAAAATTTTCTCTCTAACATCACTCATCATTTAACAAAGTTTTTTACTTTTGTTGTAAATGTTCCTTCATGTTCAAAAATTGTTTATTGGTTTAGTTTTTTTCTTTGAACATTATTGCTTAAGACTTCTCTCTCACAATGTTGTCAGAGATAATATTTGTTGAAAAAATTTTAAAGCTGTTGAACTAAGTTCAATTCCTTCACCTAATAAGTTATAGCAATAGACCGTAATTTATTTAATTTAATTTTGTCAACACTAATTTTTCAAATTTTTTATAAAATGAATTAAATTAGGTAGACAAAAATTGAGATTTGGAAATCATTATAAGAATTAGTTAATTATAGAGTTTATTGTTAACGAATCCTAACAGTAAAAAATAATAAAATAACTATTAAACTTCTATAAAATAGTAAATTTACTAATATATTTCTAATAAGGTGCACCATGGTTTAAAATAGGTAGACAAAAATTGAGATTTGTAAATCATTATAAGAATTGGTTAAATATAGAGTTTATTGTTAATGAATCCTAACAGTAAATAATAATAAATTTACTAATAAATTTCTAATAAATAATAAATTTACTAATAAATTTCTAATAAGGTGCATCATTAAATCATCTAGAGACCTTTCAGTAAGGTCTAAGGAAAGAAGATTGTCAGAGATTACTGGAAAGTTTACCTAAAGACCCCCTGTTTCATACTTTTACTCTTAAGACCCCCTGTTTCATACTTTTACTCTTAAGACTAAAGAATGGGACAACAAAAAATTTAAACTAAAAATTTTGAAGAAGTTTCTTCAATTTAAATAATAAAAGTTTTAAATAAAAGATTGATTGATCCCGTAATAACATGCTCTAAATTTGGCTCACCTAAAGAAGCTATTATTGTTAAAATTGACTCTCCAAAAGAAGCGTTAATGTTAAAATTGACCAATCCAAAAGAAGCATTAATGTTAAAATTGACCAATCCAAAAGAAGCATTAATGTTAAAAAATGACCAATCCAAAAAAAGCATTAATTTTAAAATTGACCAATCCAAAAAAGCATTAATGTTAGGCAGTAGAAAAAGTAGAGCTAAAAATCAAACTGTTCATCAAAAAAAAAAAAAGGTTGTATTTATACTCTGCCTACAATTATATTATGAAGATAAGTAAAAAAAAATAAATAATAAAAATATAGTAATAATAATATAATAAAATTATAAAAAAAAAAGTAAAGATAAGTTAAGATAAAAATTGCATTTCAGATTCTGGAATTGTTATATTAAACTACAGTGATTTTGTGATTCTTTAAAGATAATAGATAACACTGCAAGCAGAATTTGGAATATTATGGGTATATTAAAACTACCTAAGCTTTCCAATAGTCTTCTTCTTATGAGCAAAATTAGATTTCATGGTTCAACTAGACGGCCTGTTTATAAATAGAAAACTTCCAGTTGAAGAATCTTTTTTTTTTTATGTATAGTATATATACAACTTACATGAGTACATGAATGTATTTCTATGCACATCTTTTACATGAGTACATGAAGTTAATGAATTCCTATGCACATCTTTAACTCAATAATGTTGCTCTGATAAAATGCAATACATAAAAGTAAATCAAAAAATTTTCTTGAAAACTTTCAAATGAAAATGTAATGAGAAGATTGCTTCATCACTTCTAAAAATATAAAGATATAAATGCAAAAAACATGTCACGCATTATATCCACTGAATGCTAAAGAAATTGCCAGGTTTCATGTTATTTCACTCAAATCAAACATTTTTTGTTCAAGAGTATTTGTTTTATTAAAATAGAAAAGAGCATTTATAAAATCTGAAGAAAAATGTTAAGAGCCTCGATTGGTAAAATTGAGGAGGCCTATTTTGATTCAAGCACTTGCGATGACCGTTACAAAAAAAAAAAAAAAAATTCAAATAATTTAAACCAAATTTAAAACAACACAATACTAAAAAACATTTACAATAAAAATGTAAAGTAAATATGGAACATAATCCAATAAAACCAAATAATTTTTCTTCCAGCTCTAGAGCAGAATGTAAAAGTTAAAATTAAAACTAACAGATTTCAAAGTTGATTATACTCTTCTACATGTTTAAATCTATTCCATGTAGATTTAAATTTAGAGTGAAGTCTCCACACTTGTTTAGCAAACTGTTATTAATTTATTTATTATTAATTATTAGTTTAATTTCAAAAACTCTTATGCAATATGTGTTTATACTTATTTTTATTATATATTTTATACAAATTTTATACTTTGTTTTCTTGGTGTTGTCATTGGTCTGGTTCTTTACATGTTTAAGCAATCTATCGGAATATCATAAATGTACCATATTTTCTTGAGATTATTAATAGTTTAAAGATATTTCTAAAATATCTTTTAAAGTAAGTAAATAAAAAATAAATATGCTAAATATTTTTTTATGCTATGTGTTCTTGGTGTTCTGCACTTGAGTCAAAAATGTATTATTTATCCTAATAAATGTAACTTAAAAAGTGAAACTTAGGTTTTATATATATCCCACATCTATTTTTTTATTATGTCAGTTATCCTTGTTTCTGTGTAGTTAATGTATTCATCAAAGGTGTGACAAGGGATATATAGTTATAGTATATAGTGATAGTTATAGTAGGCCGGGGTATAATTAATATTCACCAAAGATTTCAAAGTGTTAGCTTCAAAAATCATAAATATATGATTTTTACCTCAAAAGTGACATTTGTGACCATTGACCATTGTGCATAATCAATAGTCATTAGTAAATATTCCATAACACTAGGATTTAAAATTAAAAACTAAAATTTTTTTTTTTTATATCTTTAGCAATTTTATTCAAATTATACTAATTCTGGTCTGCAAAAATTATTAGCTCTAATTTCTGAGATATACAATAGCAATAAATTTTTATTTAAGTTAATTTGCAACAGAATAATATGACATGATTTACATATTCTTATATTATTTAAATACTTTTAGTTTTTTTTATTACAGATTTGTTCTAACAGTTTTAAACAAAGAAATCATGATCATCTAGTTAATAGGTATATGATCTTTTTGCTTTCCTTTTGTATTTTTGGAAATTTGTTTCTTAAATACCTAAAAGCATGTCCTTCTTTTTTCATACCTTAATCAAAATTTTTCATTAAACCCAACTTAATATGTAATAGTGGAAGAAGAACATCTTTTAGATCCACATGTGGTTCAGCAATAACATTTTTTTCATCTGTGTTGAGATTTCTTGCAGGCCAGTCTTTTTTTATGTAATGTTAACTTCTGTCTCTACTGTCCCACATACACAAAAAGTAGCAGTATTTAGTATACCCTAATTGCATTCCTAAAAATATAGCAATGACTTTTAAATCTTCTTAAATTTACCATTTGCGTTCATTGTAATTAATTAAGTTGAGGAGAAGCTTCATGTTTATATAAGTCTCTTTCATGTGAACTGGATGGCCATTAGGGACAGAAGGACGTTTCTATTGTGCAGTAATACAGCTTTCAAGCTTAGCTTAGATGAGTCAAGTTCAAGCTTAGCTTAGATGAGTCAAGTTCAAGCTTAGCTTAGATGAGTCAAGTTCAAGCTTAGCTTAGATGAGTCAAGTTCAAGCTTAGCTTTGATGAGTCAAGTTCAAGCTTAGCTTAGATGAGTCTATGAATAATCTCCATTCAGTTGGATAATAGTTATTATTAAGACAATACATTAACCAATATTAAGACAAGAGATAAATCCAAAGACATCTATGCAAACAGCAAGATAATTTTTCTTTTCAAAAAAAGAATGCAGATTCTGCTGTCGTTTTCTGCAATGTGAAACTTTGACATCAAATTGTAGAAGATTCCACTGCTTTAGTCTTAACCCTAGAAGCTCTGCCTTTTCCTGTGACAAGTCCAGATCTCCAACAAGATCACTTAATTCTGCTTGACTCAATCTATTTGGCACATCATCTGTTAACACAAAATCAGGATCATTTGATGCGGAAGGCTTATTTTCTTCTTTTTCTTATATTTCTACTTTGTATCTGTATTCATTTTCTGCTTCTAACTCACAACTTTGTGGTGGAGTAGGAGCTGGTAAACTATTCGAATGTGGAATAGCTTGAATGTCAGATGGAAGATCGTGATAACACTTTCATATACAAATTTTTATTTTGAATTTTAATGAAAAGTTTTGTATATATTTATTGTATATATTTAATATTTTTTTTACTTATTTAATATTTTAATTATTTTATCAATTATATTAATTAGATTTATTAATAAAGTTTTAAATAAAGCGTTCATTGTGCTTTTTTATAATTTTAATAAGAATTTAGATGAAAATGTTCGTTATTCGTTGTCTACCTAATATTATTTATTTTATTTAAAATTTGAATTAAACATATATATATATATATATATATATATATATATATATATATATATATATATATATATATATATATATATATATATATATATATATATATATATATATATATCAGGCCTTGTTACGAGATTTCGCTGCGTAACGGAAAAGCGAAACGTGAATAAATGTAACTTTACTCAATAAAGATATTTACATTGTTAAAAGTTAAATTACGTCAGTTGCGTTTTTACTTCATTGTAATTAAATTTAAAATGACATTAAAAACTATTATTAGTCTTTGAAATGAAATAGCTTTAAATTGAACAATATTATTATAAAAAAAAAACTAAAGTTTTAATGTTGATTAAAAAAAAGTCTTCTTGTATTAAAATCTTATACTTATTTAAACTTAATTTTTTTGCTATCAAACATTCGTTTTATGGTTGTTGTTTTTTTTTATAATTTAAATTTAACACTTGTTTATGGTTGATTTCTTAAAGGGATTTAAATGTACATCTAAACGCATAGATTGGGTTTTCCCCTTTTTAAAAAAACGTTTGCACTAACTGGTTTTGATAAAATAAATATTGTAAAGAAACGAAATTTACTGCTTTTCGGCTTTGTTTTTTTTTATTTCCATTAAAATATTTTTTTTTTATGTACAGTGAAACCTAATTGTATTTTTACTATTTTTTTACTCAATCCAAAAAAAAAAAATAGTGTTTTCGGTTTTAAGATGTTATAAGCAGAATTTGTTTTTAACAAATATCATTATAATTTTGAAATTTATTTAACTTATATTTATAGCTCTAGTACTAGTTTTGTTTTTAAAATAAAATAAATATAATTTGGGCTTTTAAAGAGTTTATTTACTGATCGCGTTATTTTTAATAGGTTTGAATTTTGGTTTGTTTTATAAAAATTTTTTTTTGGGAAACGGCTAAGGGAAAACCCAAACATAACATTTATAACTCGAGTTTAAAAGAACTTTTTTTTTTGACGTTATTAACTTGTAGTTATAAAATGAATAATGCGCTTCTGTAAATAATGAATGAAACTGTAAAGTAATGGAAAAATTTTCAAAAATATTCAGACCAGTATTTGGAACTGGAACTTACCTGAAACTTAACTGAAATTAAAATAAAGTTATATGTAATACAAACATTTTAAAGTTACTTGAATTAACTTTATTAAATCTTTTTTTACTTTGGAAATTTTATCATAAAAAAAAATTGTAAAATGGAGCATTTTAAAATTTAAAAATTTTAAAATGCTCTGTTTTAAAATTAAATAAAAGAATTTTAATTAAATTTAATAAATTTATTTACCAAAAACTATGATTAATAAAAAAATATTTAAATTTAAAAAAATAAATTGAAATTTTTTTTTTTTTTTTTAATTTAAATGTTTTAAAAATTATGAAATATAAAACTTAATATTAAATATGATAAAAAGTTTAAACTTAAAACACATTTTTTTCAAAACTAATTTTTAACAACAACAACAATAAAAATAATTAAAAAAATTTTTCTTTAACAAAAAATCTATTACTTTACAATTGCGGTTAAATGCTTTTACTTATGACTTTATTTTCCTCTGAATAAACGTCACATAAACGATATCAAATGATAATTTAAATATTCTAAAAGATTAAAGTTTTTGCCTAACGCAAAACTGCTGAACTGCTGAACTGCAAATCGCCTTTTCGCAGGTAAAATGAGAGCTGTGTAACGATTCTTAACAAGGCCTGATGTATGTATATATATATATATATATATATATATATATATATATATATATATATATATATATATATATATATATATATATATATATATATATATATATATATATATATATATATATATATATATTTATATACAGGGCTTAATTTAACAGTCGGACATCGGACATTGTCCGGCTAAAACCTCAGATTGTCCGATCAATTTACAAAGTCATCGGACATTTTGTCCGGCAAGATTTTTAATTCTCTAAAATAAAATTTTATACGTTGATTTGAAATTGACAAATTTAAACTTAATGTAAACTATTAGACAAACTTATAAAATATGTTGATAATGGAGGCATTCATTCCCAAAAAAAGCGCTGTTATTAATTGTAGTTTTAATGACTGTTCTTTAACAGTTTTATTGTTATATTATTAAATTTAAAATTATTGCTTGTTTAAAACAATTGCAAAAGTCAAAGTATGTTCGATTGATTACTGCAAACGCCGTGGACACTGAAAAGCAAAGAAAAGCTAACAGTTTGAAAAATTTGATCATAAAAGATTTTACAAATGTGTTTTTTTAAAGGCTGAGATCTTATTGATGGAATATTTTTAAAAAAAAATTAAGAAAATTACATTTAAATATTAACGTTATAATCATCCAAATCATTCTATTTTAGCTTGAGCGGTTTCTCTGTGGCATCCTGGTCTTACTCGAGTTTTCTGATTCTTTATTTATTATTAAGATTAAAAAGTTCTAGCTTTATAAAACTTGTCTGCCAAAGAAGGAGTGCTTTTTTTAAAAGTAGACAAATAATAACCTGTAGAACTCATAAAATTTTCTTCGTTGAATTGATCGAATTTTAATGACATGCAGCGCATGGAATTTTTAAATCAAATAATAGCCCGTAAATATTATATTGCGTTTGATTTAACCGCTTTTAAATAAGTAAAAGCAAAGTTTAAATTTTTTATATCAAGTTTCAAAATAATGTTTATCTTAATATTTAATATGTTAATGACATTATACTATATTACTATAACAAACTTGTTTTCTTGCAGTTTTTATTATTGATAAAAATAGTTACATGAACGCCATATAAATACCTTTTTGGCGCTAAAAGTGGAGCTTATGCGCAAAATTGACACTTAGCATATTATATTTTTTTAAGTAAAAAAATTTACATAACTTTTATAAACCGGTAATGCAATTTATTGTAAACTAAGAAGGTTTTCGAGAGAAACAAACTTAATAAAACTTCAAGTCTATCTAAAAAAATGTGCAGTATTAAATTTAAACTATTTCATTTAAAATACAAAGATCTACGATGATAAAAGTTCTGAATATTAAAAAAAACAAACTACAACTTCACAAGCCTAAAATAAAATAAACTGGGAAAACATAACATATATTTCGATTGGATAATTGGTTCCGTAAAACTCAGATACGCCAGAAGCTAGTCTAAAAAAAGCCATCTGCAGTACTTTTTTACTCTCGGCATTTAAAGAGCTACCTTTTTCCTGTGTTCCTTTTAACAAAACAAATATGAATATATGTAAATATTGGTGAAAATTATTTGTTTAAATTTTATTTCAAAAATTTGATTGGACAATGTCTAACCAAAATAACTTTTGGTTGGACATTTTGTCCGGGACCTTATAGAAAATTAAATTAAGCCCTGTATATATATATATATATATATATATATATATATATATATATATATATATATATATATATATATATATATATATATATATTATTTGTTTTGCTGTTTTTATTTTAATTATTTTATTTAGAATTTATTCACAGCAACTTTTCGCTATTTATAACAAAAAATTTAAATAGCAAATAAAAATAAATTTTTAAAATTGCCACACACTTTAGTGCGCTAGCATTAAATTTCAAAAGTAGAAGACTGGTTGAGGCTTACGGTATAGAAATAATAATAAAAACAAATAGCTATAAAAAAGAATAAAGTTCCTTCCTAAATAAAGTTTAATGGTGTTTGTATAAAGATTGATTTTGTCATTTTTAAAAACATATATAATATTTAGTTTCTAAAGACATATATAATATAATATTTACAGTTTTTTTTGTGTGTTTTTAAGTGTTAAGAAGATTAACAAAAAAGTTTAATTTTATGAAGTTTCAAAAAATTCTCACATTGTGATTCTCAAATGTGATTTTTTCAGAATCACACTACAGAAAGCTTTAAGAAAATTAAAAAAAAATCTTTCGAAATCTCAAAAAAAAAAGTAGAACATTACAAAAACATTGTTTCTATCTTTTCTGCTTTATTTAACGAATCTTTATATTGGATTTTTTTCAGCTTAAAGATTAGAATTTTGTATTTAAAATAAAAAAGTGAGTTTAAATACAAATACACCTTGATAGCACTTGAGCCTGTTCTTATGAAAATATATAATTTTTAAAAATGCGATCTCTATAAATGTTACAAGCCATTGCTGTAAGAATGTATTTTTTAAATTATTAGCTTAACTCAATGCAACTCTGAGTCTAATTTTAATAAAACATTTTCTTACTCATTTCTTACTCATTTGTAAAATGCAAAAAATTTCATAAGTTTTTATACTTTTTTTTTAGATATTGTTTTTCTTTATATAACATATAGGATATAGGTTTATATTTATTTTCTAGATATTCAAAAAGGATGGCCTGCAATACAGTTAAAAGTTCTTATGGACATGCTTTCTCTTTCAAGAAGTTTAGGAAATAAATTAGATAGTGTAAAGTGAGAATTAAACATAATTAGTGTTTAACATATTTTGTCTGAATAATATAAGAAGTTTAATTCTTATTATTACAGTATATTTTTATTGCATTTTTCTCATTGTTGTTTTATTAATTTATCTAGTTTAATATTATTAACTTGATTACAAAAATTTGTTTGTGTGATTACCATAAATAGCAAAATATATAATCAAATATTTCTTCATAGATTAATATGCCACATTTTGGAAGAACATATTAAAGATATCGATTTAGATATACAAAGAGATTTGATTGATTGGCTGGAGGAGTATTCTGACGGAAAGGAACCATTACACAATGAGATCGATTCTGAGCTTGAAATAAAACTAATCAAACCACTTCCAATAATAAAGTATTTCAATTACTTTTTTACTTTTTTATATTTTTCAGGGTTTAAAAACCAATTATTTATTTTAGAGATTTTCATCCAAAAAAGTTACCTTACCATTTGGAGCCATTTAAATCTAACAATATTAAAAGAACAGATAATCCTTTTATATTTTCCTCACTTTCTACCAAAAAGCCAAAAGATAAAAAAGGTAAGAGGGTATGAATATATATTTATGATTAATTTATGACATTTTGAACGAGAATTATAGTTTTATTTATAAATAACAGGCTCATAATATTAAGATTCAATATTGCTAGCCTGTTATTTAAATTTTGAAACTTAAATTAAAAATTTTAAGTTTGAAAATTTCAATTAACATTGATGAAATTGAACTTTGTTCATTTTTTAAAAAAGTTACTGAAAAGTGAATAATTTTTTTATTGTATTTAGTATTATGTAATATGTAAATTAGTTGCGCTAGGTGTTGTAATTTTCACTAATCACATCCTATATCCTACTAGTGTATAAAATTTGTGAAAAGTGAATATTTTTTTAATTGTATTTAGTATTATGTAACGTGTAAATTAGTTGCGCTAGGTATTAAAATTTTCACTAATCACATTCTATATCCTACTTGTGTATAAAATTTGTTTTTAAAAAGTTAAAAAAGTTTCAAAACATTTGGTAAAGTGTAAAAAAGTTAAATATTACTTTAACAAATGTAAACAAATGAAATAGCTTGTAACGTTAATTTTTTTTTTAATTCACTTTTTCAATTCTATGAAGGCAGCGGAGGCTACTTTAGTTGTAGTTCCACTTTTGAGTTTATTTGATATTTTTAATGAGTTATAAAATATTATTCGCTTAAAATTGATTTATTTTTTTTAAAATGTCATATTTTTTATTCACCTTAAAAAAACATGTTATTTTGATTCCAATTTCAATATAAATTGTACTGTTTGCCCAATAGTTTTTTTGTTTGTTTTTTGTTTAGTAATGATGTAAAAATTTGAAAAATTCACATACTTATGCAGCAGTATAAATGATATATCATTATGAATGATATATCAATAATGTTCTTAAGTATATACTATTAATGTTCTTAACAATTTATCATTCTTTTTATTGGTATTAACTCTTCTAGTTTCTATAGGTATTAAATGATAAAATTTTAATGTAAAATTTTTATAAAAATGTATATCATAAAAATGGGGATAGCTACAAACAATTATATTACTTGTTTTGAGAAATGTAATGGAAATCAGCTAGTTTACAGTTTCCTTTTACTTACAATACATTAAATACTACATCATCAGTTAATAAAGTTTTAAGACCATATTGCTCTTTTGAAAAAACTTGTGACAAAGCAAAAAAATAATAATAGTAAAGCTTAAATATGTTATTAACAATTTATCTAGAACATAAATTACTTGTTTAAGTAAGCAACCGCCAATAAAATGCTAAAAATTCAGATAGAAAACCCAATCAAGGTGCTAAGAAGTATTCACCTGATGTCCTGCAGCCGTATTCACATCTCTCTGTTAAACCTTGCGAGCAGCTATTGGCTGGTTAAAAGTAAAACAGCAGTTTTTAACGCCAGCGGTAAAATAAACTTGTATTCTTAAGTCTCTGTTTGATAAACAACTGGAGTAAATTTAGTTATCGAAAGGTTGTTAATGCCAAAATTTAACCCTGCTCTACCCTACAGTGAAAACTGCTATCGAAGGAATTTTCTATTATATTAAGAAAAGTAAAAGATGGTGTCTAATCAAAAATATAATAATAAGTTTACTTTTATAACAAATAAGCTATAATATATACTATATCAAATTTATATGATTTGTCTTAATTGGTAAAAAATATATTCATATTGTTTATACACTTATTATATTTCAAAACAAATGTTACTATAAAATGAAATGTATTTTGCATTTGATTATAATGCGTACACTGTTACGAGTATATATGTATGTTATGTTACGAGTATATATGTATGTTATGTTACGAGTATATATGTATGTTATGTTACGAGTATATATGTATGTTAATTACACGTGTATCTGTATAAGATTTATGTGTTTATTTATGTATAAAAGCAAATATACATGTACTTTAATTCATAAATAGACAAGTATATAAATATATACATACATATATATGTATATATATATATATATATATATATATATATATATATATATATATATATATACATTATATATATATATATATATATATATATATATATATATATATATATATATATATATATATATATATATATATATTATATTTATATATATATATATATATATATATATATATATATATATATATATATATATACATATATATATATACATGATTATAATTATATATAATTATAGTTATATATATATATAAAATATATATATAGATAATGTCTTGATAAAAATATTCATCTTGGGTAGACATTAAATGCATCTGGCTACTGTCTTGTAGAAGGCCTCCTAGGCAAAGACTTAACGAGTAAACACACCTGAGCTCGCACCCCTTCTTCATTTATTAGGCTGGTGCAGATATATTTATAATACATTGTTTCCAATTTAGAATGTCATATGCTAGATCTTCTTGACTTAATGCATGGGTTTTATTTGTGTCTCTGTTTTTATGCTAGGCGTTTCATCCTATTATCTCTTAATAAGGGAACAACTCCAAAACTCAGTTTTATGGTTCTGAGCCCAGCTGATAGTCAGGTTTTCCGAACTCTGTGTTAGCTCTCAGAGAGGTTGATTTTATCAGCAGCTGTAAAATATCAGAGTACTAACAGTGCCATGTTGTGCATGGATGGTGTCCCTGTTTTTACTTTTGAGTCAAGTTCTTCAACAAATTAAAAAATGGCCAATAACTAGAAAATTCAAAAAATCATCGTCATCACTAAGTTCTCTAAATCTATCATTCACTAATATTTGTGGTCTTTGAAGTAACTTTTCTTCTGTTGAGTCTTATCTCTTAGAAAGTTCACCAGACTTACTTGCTCTTTGTGTGACTAATTTAAGTTAGGCTGTCTCATCTTGTGATCTTAGTGTTGATGATTATCTTCCTTTCACTAATAGCTTGCGAGCACTAGATACTTTAAATTTAGATCAAATGCATTCTTATGTGGATTGAATAGAAATATAGATCATGAAGCGAGTCTTTTTGAAAAAATTACAGTAACTGATAACTATGTTATAAGGATTATTTTATCAGCTTAATAAATTAATAACACTAAAATTCTAATTAAGCTAAACATTTTAAGAAAAATATTATTAATTAAAATTATATCACGTTTCAAAGTATGACTAAAGCATAAGTCAAGTAAATTTTGGAGATTTTTATGGTGCACATAACAATATTATCAGCATATAGAAGAAGGTAGTATTTGAATTGCATAATTCAAATACTACCATCTTCTATATGCTGATAATATTGTTATTGTATTTGAATTGCATAATCATACTCTGTATGATTGTATCATATCACTGTATGATATGTATTCAGTCTTTTATTACAGGACTGAAGCAACAAAACATGAATTGGATGAGCAATAAACCTTTCTATATGCTTTAAGACAAAGCCCTGTAGAAGTTACATGAAACTCTGTTGAAACCATACCAAGCATAGTTTGAGAATTTGGGCACAATTTTTTACAAAAGTATTCATGTTTTTTTGTATGCAGCACTTTATATTAAATATTATTTGAAAGTTATTTTTTAGATGTTTTTGAAATATTGTTAATTTTTTATTTGGTTTTTAGAGAATATTAAAATATTATAATTAATAAGTTGAATATTATTTTTATATGTTTCCCACTAAATATTCATTTTAAAAGTAAAATAATTTTTAAATAATTAGTTGTTAAAAAATTTCTTAACCAAAAAGAACACAGTACAAGGTACACAGTGACATAACTCATTTTGGAGTTAATATATAGTTTAAACACTAGGATAATTAAACCTCCACCTTGATGCGATAAATGAGATTACAATTTCTTGAAATAAAATTTAGCCACAGTAAAATTACTCAGTTTTAACACTTTGAACCGTTTGCAAAAATCGAGTTATATAAAATATATATTATAAAATATATTATAGAGTTATGATAAAAATCCATTAGAATAAAGAGACATACACATAAAAATCCATAAGAATGAAGAGACATACACATAAAAATCCATAAGAATGAAGAGACATACACATAAAAATCCATAAGAATGAAGATAAACATAAAATTTTAAAAAATGAAGTAAGTGTTAAGTAGATACTTACTTTCTTCCATTTTATAACTAACTGCTTAGAGTTTTTTTTCTTAATGGACCTTCAAATTCTCCGTTAGTTTAATAAAAACATGTGAGTATGGCTGCAGGGTTCACCTGATCACCTAAGGTCTAACATTAAATATTGATTGATGTATAGCAAAACAAAAATAAACAAGAAATGGTACTAAAGAAAATGGCTACCACATATATCTTTTATATAAGGATATAAGGATCTTTGAATATGCTATTAAAAGATCCTTATTAAAAGTACATTCTTGAAATGCTGTGCAATGCACAGGCTCTTGTGCTAATCACAATACTTAGAAACTAATGAAACTGACCTTTAGATGCAGGACTAGATTTGATGGTGCTGCAGGGCCAACTATTTACAAACAGGTTAGTTAAATGAAAATAGTGAACAAAGTATAAAGAATGAAGAGTGATTACTTATTATTTGCATAGTACCATTAGAGCTTAATGGCATTTATAATAATAAATACTTAGTACTGTGGAGTATTGATAAGCCATTATCAACTGGATGTTATCAACCAGTGAGTTTCAAAAGAAATTAAGAATGTTGTTGAAGACGAAGAAAAAGTTACCAATTTTAAAATTGAAAAACTCCTACCTAAAGGAACAGTTTTTGCTAGATAACAACTTATTAAGCTACAAATGATTATTCAGTTTGTTGTAGTTTGTTTTATTCCATGCTGGAGTACTCAAATCAGTCCAAAAACATGCTAAATAGACTCTGACTGATTTCTTTTGTTGACTTCAGACCAAGCGAGTTTTATTGAAGTAGTCCTTAACAGGGACACAATTTCATCCAAAGCAAAGGATCTAACTGAAAAAAAAAAATTATTGAGTCGTGTAAAATAGGTGACCCCCTCCGCCATCAGCCCTCCCCAAATGGATACCTGGACCTGCTTTTTAAACTTATTTATCCTATTCTTTTTATACCAAAAAACTTCCTCAAATCAGAATTAGGTAAAAAAGTATATCTTAGGTTGTCCCTTGATTTAAATTAGATTTATTTACTAAAAATTGTAAAACTTCAATTAATATATAAAAAAAAATGTTTTCTTTAAACTTTCTTTAAATAATTAAAATTAAAATTTTAATTGTTTAAATGATTATATAATTAAAATAAAATTTAACTAAATTCTAAATTAAATAATACAAAAACAATAAAAACAAGCATTTTTATTTATTCTAAATAAAAAGAAAAAAAAAAAAACAATAACAACAACAAAAAAACAACAGAAAAACTGTTTGATTAAAATCCATAATTCATAAAACAATTAAAATAAAAAGGAAAAACAAATATTATTTTTAAATCGTATAAAAATTAAACAATTCAAATAAAAACTGAAAAACTAATGGTTTTATTAATTCTAGATAAATAAATTAAAATAAAGTCAGCAAAACTAATGTTTTATTTAAAGTCTGAATAAATTTATAAAATACTGTTTGTTTTTCAAATTTTTAAGCAAATGCCAATGCTTGATAGAAAATTTGGTGAATTCCGGGTTTGTTTTATTCTTAATTTTATGCTAAATATATATATATATATATATATATATATTATATATATATATATATATATATATATATATATATATATATATAAATGTATATATATGTAAGATGTTGCAATCTGTTCACAGTATTTTGGTTTATAGGCATGTTGTAATTAATAGAAAATACCTACCCGTCAAAATTATGTTATAAGAGTGAAAAACAAAGACTTGAAGAACTTTCAAAAATATTTTAGCAGAGAGACCTTTAAAAAGATATAAACTAAATAAGATTTGAATTATAGGCTTCTATTAATAGTTCAGTGATCCTGTCATTAAAAAAAAAAAAGAAGAGTTATACAACAATCAATTTTGTTGTTTTATATCTGTAAAAAATTGAAATAGAAACAGGCAAGAATAAATATAAGTTCATTTACTGATGAACTAATGAGTTTAAGAGATCTATTAAGGTAAAAAAAAAATTTATTTAGACTTTTTTTCCTAAAAAACATTTTGTTTAAGGATAGAAGCATAAATTACTTTATTTTGGTAATACAATGAAGATGCAATAAAGAATATAGGTGCAATAAACAATTTCTTCATTCTTAAGTTGATTTTTTATTTTAGATGTTGTTTGGGTTTGTGGTGATGTTTCAGAAGTAGTGATGTTTGTTGAGAATCCTTTGCCAGCTGAAATTAAAGTGAATAACATGGTAAAGTTTTTATTTATGAATGCTTATTAATGTATTTGAATTATTCTGAAATTGAATGATAACAATTTAATAAAAATTTAAAAACATAATGAATTTTTATCAGATTTTCTTTTGAATTGTAAAGCACTGCTTCATATCTTTTGAAATGAGGCATTTACACACACACACACACACACACACACACACACACACACACACACACACATATATATATATATATATATATATATATATATATATATATATATATATATATATATATATATATATATATATACATATATATATATATATATATATATATATATATATATATATATATATATATATATATATATATATATATATATATATATATATATATATATATATATCATAATGAATTAGATAGCTGTAAGGGTTTTTGTACATACGTCAACTGACTATCAACTGTTAATATTATAAATATGAAATGGAAAATAACATCTATTGAAAAATTTTAATATAAATTATATAAACTTATATATTATAATCTTTTTAAACATTTTTTCATATTTCTCTAATAGCATTAAACAGCTTTAAAGACATTTTTAAAAAGTGATATTTTGAATAAGTGAGGTTTTAAATAAGCACGATTTTAAAATAAATTTATTATGTCATTAAACCTCATCATAAAACTGCCTAGACAAGCTGCTTGGTTTGCTCACTATGCCCATTTTACATAAGCTTTTCTACTTTTTTTAGCGTATATAGATATATATTTGCTAACTTTTTTTCCTGACTTAAATCCATACAGTTTTTGGAAATAAAAAATGTGTCTATGTCTGCTAATTACTAAAAAGTAGCAATCAGTCATTTCAATGAAAATGTAGCAATCAGTCATTTTAAGAAAGATGCAGCAGTCATTTCGAGAAATATGTAGCAGTCAGTCATTTCAAGGAAGATGTGGCAATCAGTCATTTCAAAGAAGATGTAGCAGTCAGTCAATTATTAGATGAGTATTTAGTTATAAAACTATTTTGTATAATCTAAAAAAATTCTTATTGGTTGTTTTATTATTTCTAAAAAGTTGATTTTTAAAAAACTTTCAAAATAGCTTCATGATAAGTATGTTTATGAAGTTTTTTTTTACTTTATACGAAAAAACTTGACTTAACTGGATTGAAGTTCTACCCACATGATTTACTTATGTTTAGAATCATTAATTGTTTTTCTTTAAAAATTTTTTTTTTTCTAATCAACACTATTTAACTTTCTTCCTCTGCATTGACACACTTTTAAGAAACTATTAGATCATCAAGATAGATGATCTAATAGTTTCTTAAAAGTGTCAAAAAGTTGCAATGTTAAAATAAAACAGGACTGGCCAGTAATTATAGCCAGCAACTCAATGATGGTAACATATTGGTGGATCTAGCTAGCTCACAATTTTAAAATTTTGCGGAATATTGGCTGCTGGTGTATAGTGGAGGCTAGATAACTAGAAATCAAGAGCAGTCAACCAACAAAGTTAATTGTGAGTGCAGTACTTTCATAAATTGGTGTGGACCTAGTTCTAGCATTTATGCTTTTGCTTCATGAAATAATGACAACAAATTTAGAAGAGTAAAGAAACCTCTAGAGAAGTAAGGACAGCTAGTCTGCTCAAACTCAGAATAAAAATATTTTATTTACTTTAGATATTTATTTACTTTAGAGAAGTAAGGACAGCTAGTCTGCTCAAACTCAGAATAAAAATATTTTATTTACTTTAGATATTTATTTACTTTAGAGAAGTAAGGACAGCTAGTCTGCTCAAACTCAGAATAAAAATATTTTATTTACTTTAGATATTTATTTACTTTAGAGAAGTAAGGACAGCTAGTCTGCTCAAAATAAAAATATTTTATTTGCTTTAGATTACTGTATGTATTTAGATTTACTGTTATTTTTTTTAAGACTCTTATCACTGATGGTATTCCTTTTGAAGCTCATCCTGCAACATTAGCTTTGCCAGCAGAATCAGGATTTATACCATTTATGTTACTTGGAACTCCAAAAGAAGCTGGAACTCTTGTTATTAAAGGTTGTTGTTACTAATTGTGTGCCTGTAGTTTTTTTTATTGATATATATTTTTTTAATTTCATTTATTTGCTGAAAGTTTTTTTTTTTTAACTTTGAAAAAAAATTTTCCAAATTTTTTTTTTTTAAATTTTTAATGTTTAAGTTTAAGTTTAAAAATATTCCCTGACATTTACTAATTCAATGTCTTGGTATTCTTTTTTTTTTGTATAATATAATAATTGTTAATATAATAAGTTATATAATGATTTAATTATTCTTAAATTTAAACTAAGCAGATTATTTTTCAAAAAATCTACACACACAGCAACTATTATTATTACACTATTATTACACACACACACAGCAAGTCATATTATTGTTTGTTGTCTTAGTTCTATAGTAATTTTATTAAGTAAATTAAATTTTGATCATTATAATCAAACAATATGATTAATCTTTCGGAAATTATCAGTTATTTATATTTTCAAAAAATTTAAATTCCATTTAATTATAAATTAGTAAGTGGCTAGTAAGTAAAACATTTCTTAAACATTATTATGTTACCAAAAAATACATTAGTAAATATTAGCTTAGTAACTACAGAGTGTTTCAATAATGTTCCCTTTTATTAAGAAACCTTCATTAAAGAGAGAGGCAAACAGTGTTTCCATGGCACTATTAAAAAAAAGTTAAAAACACAACAAATTACTATGAGCATAACTAAAGTTATTATTGTTAATGACATTGAAAAAACAATATAATGGCACAAAATAGTTATAGCACAATTAACCAATAAAATTGGCTTTGTAATGTTACCATTAAACAAAATGATTTTTACTTCAATTATTTAGAATTCCAGTTTCTTTACAGCTGTTGGCTAGCAATTAACACAGTAAATTTTATGTCATAAATTTACTAAGTTAAAACCATGCTTCAACAGTAAGCAAACTAATCAAGCAACGACAAGTAAAAAAAAAAGAATACAATTATGGTTGAATTTAAAAAAAAAAGAAATCATTTAGTTTTAGAGTAATTATAATCAGTTATATGAAAGTTTAATAAAATTTTGTTTGTAAAAATAATGTAGTGACTAAAATACAACAAATCTCATCAAAATAAATAATAGTCATAAGAGCTGATAGTAAAAAAGTTAATAAATAATAATCTTAAACTTACCAGTTGTGATATGAGAGAATATCTGAAAATAATGATAATAAAAGAACAATATAATTAAAAATAGATATACATAAAGTTGAATTTCAATTAAAATATAAAAGATAGCACCTATCTGATGGGTTCAAAAAATTAAAATTAAAAAAAACTATGGAAAAAAAAAAAAAAGAAAGAAAAAAAGGTACGTAATTTAAGTAATTCTAATAATTATATTTTAATTTTATTATTTAATGATTAATTAAATTATTTTTTAATACTAATTATAGCAAAATTCATACTTAGTCTACTAGATTCATACTAATCCCACAACTTAGTAACCTCGCTTGACTGGCAAGGATAATAATCTTGATCTACACACTGCTAAGTAACATCTCAAAAGCAAGACAATGGCTTTTTGCAATTTTAACATATCCATCAACAGCGTATTACTAAAATTTGTTTCTTACCTTAAAATATTAAACAGAAGTTTTGTCTTACTGAGGATCTATAGTTGTAAAATTTAGTAAATTGTCTATAATTTGAGGGTCTATGATTATAAAATCACCAACCCTCAGAATTAGGATAACTAAGGTCAGCAACTAATTGCCAACCTCAAACTGTTAGAGTTTAGCATCAGCTCAGCAAAAAAAATTTGACACAAAGAGGTCACCATAGTACATAGAAACGAGGTCCTTAAACGCTTTTAGGTCGGCATTGCTGACCCTAATTCTGAGGGTTGAATCATGTAAGCAAAGATGAGTGTCACATTGTTACATTCTAAAATTTATTGCTTCAAGTGAGTCTTGATCTTTCCTAAGATTACGTACACAATTTAAAATTTGACCACATTTTCTAAAACAAGGCAGTCTATGATTCATAGGTTGAACCTTTAGTTAAACAATTAGTTTCAAATTGATTTCTTCTTGCCTAGCAGCATTTCTTGCATTTTGACAACAATTAATTTTAGCTTGCCTATTTCTATTTCATTCACTTTCACAACGTTGATTATTTTTAAGTTATCAATTGGTATTACTACTAATAGCTTCTTCATGCCTAAATCATCCATTTCAACTTCACTATTCTAAATAAACATATTACCAGTAGTATTACTACTGTAGTAAAAAAATTAACGCAAAATAATCTTATGAATTGTGATTTTTTATATAAAATTACTTCTACTACTACTCTAAGTGAACAAAAGAATAAAATTTCTGCTACTACTCTAAGTAAAGAAAAGAATAAAATTTTTTCTACTACTACTGTAAGTGAACAAAAGAATAAAATTTGCAACTTTCATAAATCAAATTTATTTAGAAAAAAAGGAAGAAAAAAAAAAAGAAAACTAAATTAAACAATTAGAGACAAAAATTAATTACGTTATAAATATATTAAAATATCATTCTAAAGTTGTAAAATTGCATTATTAAGAACATATCTGTAAAGATATAAATAACAAATGATAATATTCAGAAACTTGCAATCCTGCATGTGGTATGTCATTCTCAGATATTGTAAAGTCAACATTCGTTACATTACTTTTATTTAGCGCTGTACTTTCCACAGCACAGTCTTGTTTCGGAGGTGGTCTATCTGTGCTATAGGCTGGCATAAAATCGTGTTCACCAAAAATGTTAACATTTAGTGGGTAAATTCCTGTTTTTGCAAAACCAGCCTTGATATTATTAGGGGTACATGCTAATGGAAATGAGTTACCCACAATACCTGGTATACTGTTAATAGACATTGTGGAACCAGGGTGCATTGTCATCCACGCATCGCAAGCTGTGTTTGTGTATTTTTTAAAAGGTCCAAATACACTTCGATCTAGAGGTTGAAGTTTATGGCTGCAATGAGGAGGAAATGAACAAACCGATACCCCATTTTTTTTAAAGTAATCTAAAGCCTCTACTGAAAGATGAGAGTCATGATTGTCTAATAGCAACAAAACAGGTCGTTCTTTTGTACTTCTGGCATATTTGACAAAATGATGGGAAAACTGCAAAAATTGAACTTCAGTCATCCAACCAGATGAGTTTGCAGCGCCTGCACTTCCATCAGGAGCACCATTTAAAAAATAGCTTTTAATTTTCACACGAGGAAATATGAAAAATGGAGGAATTGAATTTCCACTGGCAGAAACAGCAACTGCCACAGTTACTAAATTGCCTCTCTCAGCCGAAGTAACACGTCTAATTTGTTTAAAACCCTTTCTTGCTACAATATGATCTGGAGTTTGAACTGTGGTAATACCAGTTTCATCCATATTCCAAATATCTCCACTTTCCAACTTTGAACGATTAAGAATAGTTTGTAAATTGTTGTAAAACTTTTAAACACTTGTTGGATTAAAACTGGAAACACGTGCTTGACTTGTTGCCTCAGGTTTTCTTATTGACAGTTTTTTGTGCCTTTTGAGGTAAGCACTGAACCAGTCTTCTCCAGCTGCTTCATTTGCACTCTAATTATGAGGCATTTTTATGCTATTCGCTTTTCCATACTGATAAGCTAGTTTCCTCACTTCTTTAGGAGAAAGTCCATAATAAATATCAGAAGCTTTAGTCACATATTGTTCCAACAGACCTTCTTGTAAATCAGTAAAGACTTAAATGAACAATATCAATATTAAAACAAATAACACTATATATATATGCACACTAGGGTGTCCCAAAAAACAACTTTTTTAAAAATAATTTGCTCTCACCCCCTAAATGTGTTCTATCTAATACAAAAACACTAAGTTTAAATTTTTTTTCAATAAAAAATAATTTAAAGGGTTCCTCAAGACCCTCGAATATTTAATGGGTCCCTAATATTTAAAAAAAAAAGTTTTTAAAAATTATGTCAACCTGGTACTCAAATGAACCGAAATTATTTCAAAAATTTCAAAAATCATGTTCATTTCAGAAAAAACGATACGTACTTAAACGATACTTTTTTTTTTTAACGAAATTACGGCGATTTTTTTACAGAAAATTGTTTTTTGTTTTGGCAAGTATTGTTTATTTTAAGGGAAATATCGTTACGTATCGTTTTTTCTGAAATGAACATTATTTTTGAAATTTTTATATAATTTCGGTTCATTTGAGTACCAGATTGACATAATTTTTAAAAACTTTATTTTTGAAAATATTAGGGACCCATTAAATATTCGAGGGTCTTGAGGGACCCTTTAAATTACTTTTTATTGAAAAAAAAATTAAACTTAGTGTTTTTGTATTAGATAGAACACATTTAGCGTTTTTGTATTAGATAGAACACATTTATTTATTTCAAAAATTTCAAAAATCATGTTCATTTCAGAAAAAACGATACGTACTTAAACGATACTTTTTTTTTTTAACGAAATTACGGCGATTTTTTTACAGAAAATTGTTTTTTGTTTTGGCAAATATTGTTTATTTTAAGGGAAATATCGTTACGTATCATTTTTTCCGAAATGAACATTATTTTTGAAATTTTTATATAATTTCGGTTCATTTGAGTACCAGATTGACATAATTTTTAAAAACTTTATTTTTGAAAATATTAGGGACCCATTAAATATTCGAGGGTCTTGAGGGGCCCTTTAAATTACTTTTTATTGAAAAAAAAATTAAACTTAGTGTTTTTGTATTAGATAGAACACATTTAGCGGGTGAGAGCAGATTATTTTTAAAAAAGTTGTTTTTTGGGACACCCTAATGCACACACATGTGTGTGCATATATATATATAGTTGTATATATATATATATATATATATATATATATATATATATATATATATATATATATATATATATATATATATATATATATATATATATATATATATATATATATATATATATATATATATATATATATATATATATATATATATATATGTGTG